AAACAATATACTATAACGCACGCCACACAAACACGCAAACGACTGATTACAACCCTGTGCTGGTACCGAACTCGTACCAAGAAGGCGAATTCACCAATGAACGCTGCCCTTTCCATCTGACACTGGGCAATCACGTGAACATCACGCTTCGGTTTTGTTTTGTTTCACTCTATCTTGGATTTGGATAGACTTTAGGTAATGAATAGCTTCGAGAATCTAATAACGTTACCCGTAAGAAATTCATAAAACTAACACAACCGTTAACGACGTCTGTCCTCACGCGTCTGCCCGCGTTCTCGGCGATAGCGCTTCATTCCTTAGACCGCCCTATACCCGCGCGCATCTTCCCTCGCCGTCTTACAGTAGACGCGACTCGGCTCACTGCGTTGCGTCAAGTTAATCTTACCGTGAACTTTTAAACGATTCATCCAAATAACTTAGTGTAAAAGACAAAGTTTATCTAATTGTCACATCAGGATTTTTTTTGTTCATAAGTTACATTGTGGGACGTACATTTTTGATAGTTTCAACTTGATTCTGAATCGTTCATATTCAAATCGAGAAAACGTGATGATAGACAAAATCTTTACCAATTCATTAGAAGAATTGGTGTAACAGCGACAAAAGTCACTCAGTAATGTCTCCTGAAATAAGCAATGTATTTGTCTCTAGTTCACAACATCGACACCAGGGGGAGTATCGCTTATTTTGAATTCCCTAGGAACCAGTGAACTCTATGCTACCTGGAACGGACACGACCCGTTTTCTGTAATAGCATAGAGATATAGCATTATTTACACGGTTACCTTTCTTTGTTGTACTCAAGCAATTAAGTTATGGTTCAAAGTGTAAAATATCTTTCAAGGAGTGAATTCAAATATTTCTGGGATTATATTTGTTCAAATGGTATATTATTTGTGAAGATATACATTTATATTGTTCTAGTGTGCTATTAGTTTCGCTTCCTTTGTCGTGTGTGGTTTAACAAACGCTTAATTTCGTTGGTGTTATTTGTTAGTGTGGGTAGTTCTAAATAGTAATGGTGGTCTGTTGTATAGCATGTGGATGCAAGAAGGATCAGGATTATCGCCCAATACCTTGTCATGTGTACGAAACACGCCAAGATATGTGGATATTCATCAGTCTCCTATCAAGGCTAATTCGCAAGTAGTTGATCCACCTTCTTATTTTTCAGTGCGGTCAATGGATTTAGGTCGTTATTGCCCCCCAAATATGAGTTGCAGTCCTCGTGGTTCTGGTTCCTTTTCAATGGAAGAGCTTCTTGAAGCAAGAGCCGAATCGATCCCTCTACGAAACCCTTCATCACTTGGAAGGATCGATTGCAGCTTGAGAAATGGTTCTTATGCAGATTCGGTGAAACATGTCCAGTAGACAGTTGTCCTGAAAGTCTTGCGAAGAAAACTGGATTAGATAATTTAGGAAACGTGCTACGTGAATAGCATTTTACAAGTGTTGTTCATGATGAAGAATTTCAAGAACGAGGTTTTAATGGCGAACGAGAACGAGAATGTTTCCTACCTATTCACCAAACTCAAACACCTGTTCATGCAGCTGCAGTTTCGTAAGAATATATCATCTTTTCCTCCAACCGATTTCCTGGAGTCTTTGAAGTCTACTAGATACTCGTTAGGACAACAAGAGGATTGTTCCGAATTCTTGGGGTTCTTGTTGAATACTCTTCGTGAGCAAAACAATAGCAAAATCAATACTCC